ATTGGTAAACCGTGAATCATCCACCTGTCCATCCGTCTGTCTGTCTGCTCGTCCACCTGTCTATCTCTCTGTCTGTCCGTCCATCTAGTGAACACTCCAAGTACCGCCATCTCGCATCTTTTCATTACGAGAAGGAGACCGACTCGGAAGGGTAGTCACAGATGTATTTACAGCCGGTTAAGCGAGCAGCGCCAGCCACAGAGATTAGCTCGCGCCAGTCTATATGCTTTTCTTCTTCAACTCCATGCACTGGCACGTAGCAATATATTCATCATATACAAGTACCGCCATCTAGCGGACATTCCAAAAACTAATTTGAAAAAAATGATAACCCGCCTACTTTTATATTTCCTTGAAATACACAATCTGCTTGACCAATACCAATGTGGGTTTCGAGAGGGTAGATGCACCACCGACCATCTGGTGCATATCGAGGCACAGATCCGAGACGCTTTCGTCCACAAACAATACTTTCTTTCTGTGTTTCTCGATATAGAGAAGGCTTACGACACAACATGGCGTTTTGGCATATTGAGAGACTTGTCTCACCTGGGTGTGCGCGGTAGAATGCTTTCCATAATCGAGAGTTACTTGTCCAATCGGACATTCCGTGTGCGTGTGTGAAGTGTTCTCTCCCAAACATTTGTTCTAGAAACAGGAGTACCGCAAGGCGGTGTACTTAGTTGTACACTTTTTATTATCAAAATGAATTCCTTGCACCTGTCCATCCCCCGCAATATGTTCTATTGTACATACGTCGATGACGTCCAGCTTGGCTTTATGTCATGCAACCTGGCAATGTGTGAACGGCAGGTTCAGCTAGCTTTGAACAAGGTCTCTAAATGGGCAGAAGAAAATGGATTCCAACTGAACCCACAAAAAAGCACATGTGTCTTGTTCTCCCGAAAGAGGTATGCACTCAGAACCTGACATTCAATTGAATGGTCAACGTCTGTCTGTTAATGCCGAGCATAAATTCTTAGGCCTAATTTTGGACCCCAAGCTGACCTTCATACCGCAAATTAAGTATCTAAAAACAAAATGTATAAAAGCCATGAGTGTTCTGAAAGTGTTGTCACGTACTACGTGGGGTATTGACAGGCAATGTCTCATGAATTTGTATAGGGGCCTCATTCGCACACGCTTAGATTATGGGGCCATTGTTTATCAGTCTGCGACTCAAAGTGGTTTGAAGATGCTGGATCCCGTGCACCATTTGGGCATCCGCTTTTTACGGGTGCTTTTCGCACCAGCCCTGTAGAAAGCCTTTACGTTGAGTCAAATGAATGGTCGCTTCATCTACAAAGAACTTACAGGTCCTTTGTATATTTTCTTAAGGTGAAAGCAGACAAGAAGCACCCCTCATACTCCACTATTAATGATTTGTCGAGCCCTATTCTGTTTTAAAACAGGCCTTTGATGAGGCAGCCCTTCTCAGTTCGCCTGAAGGACCTAGCTGAGGAAACTGGAGTGTAACTTGAACAGTTTAACGGCTCCTTCAGTATACCCGCCACCGTGGCAGTGGCAGATTATAGACTGCGATGTGTCTTTCCTAGAAGTTACAAAACATGCACCTATTGCCCATATCCGAAACTACTTCCTGGAACTTCAACACAATTACACACGTCCTGAGTTCTTTACAGATGCCTCCAAGTCTAACTTCTCTGTGTCCTACGCTGCTGTCGGCCCGTCCTTTTCGGATGCTGGCCCTCTACATCCAGGCACAAGTATCTTCACAGCGGAAGCTTACGCGATACTTGTGGCGGCTAAAAACATCAAGCAATCACAAATACAAAAAGCAGTAATTTATACGGACTCCCTCAGTGTGGTTACGGCTCTGCACAATCTTAAAAAACAAAAAAAAACCCTGTCCTCGTCTCACTTTACTCTATTTTATGCACACTCCACACACTCAAACAACATGTTGTAGTGTGCTGGGTGCCAGGGCACCATGAGATCCAAGGCAACGTGATGGCGGATCAGCTTGCTGTATCCGTCCACGAAATCAGTTCCACTACACCCATATCGATCCCGCCCCTTGATCTTAAGCCGTCTCTCAAACGAAAGTTCACGGACTACTGGCAGAGCAAGTGGGATAGACACACAGAAAACAAGCTACACGTTATCAAGCAACACCTTGGCCATTGGCCACCAGTATCAAAATCATGTCTAACAGAGGTAACACTAACAAGGCTCAGGATAGGACACACATACACGACACACACGTATCTTTTGTCCGGTGGCGATCCACCATTGTGTGACAGATGTGGTGAAGCATTAACGGTCCTACACATGTTGATCCAGTGCAGAGAGTTAGAAACTCTAAGAAAACAACATTTTCCATTACCCTACCGACAACATACACCTTTACACCCTGCAATGTTCGTCGGTAGGAAACCGTTTTTTAGTCATAAATCATTGTTAGCATTTTTAAAAGAAATTCATAGTTTTCATATCATATACCCGGGCATTCCGTAGCACGACCTCTACAGAGAGGTTTTTGCTGCGGTGGCTACGCAAGAAACCACTTGCCTCGCAGCCCTTGGACACAAGAGCGCTGATGAGGCACTTGTGCTAGTGCCAAATATGTTTACACGTTTCTATTATCAAAACCTTTGTCACCCTTTTTACTATGCATATCACGTCACTGTCATGTTTTTAATACTTATGTTTTTACCCGCATTATCGCGAGGAATATTAAGGCTCCTATACAGCCACGCAACATATCATTGTCCACATCTCTATACTCATTGAAATGGCGCTCTTTGGCCATCAATTGGCCCTTGCGCCATAAAGCGCCACACATCATCATTCTCTACAGCGACACAGCCAGTTACAACAGCTGGATACATGGCAACACATTCCACAAGACACTACTTCACTTCATACACAACACCGGCCTAACGGCACACATTTAACAAACATACTGGCCAAAATGTTATGCCTTGAATGCAAGTCTTTGTCGCAATAAAGAAAAAGAAATCGTGTTGCCAACGAGCAGCATAACTTACAAAAAAATATTTATTGCGTATAGCAAGCATGCTTGGATGCACGCAGTGATGTAAAAAAATCACAGCATGTCCATGAAGTGAATGATGATGAGTGGGGCGAAACGCCCATCCGTCCGTCCGTGCATGCGTCCGATCGCATTCGAGAATGCAGATGGAGCGCGGGTAACACCGACGAGCCACGGAAGCCGAGCGCAAGCCTCTTCAACGCGCCCGCCACTCTGCTTCATCCATGCCCCGTCAATGATCCGCCACGTACGGCGGCTATCCATGAGACTTAGAGAGGCACTCGTTCTCCGCGTATCTATGCACAGCCCGCGCAGCAGCCAATCAGGAAGTAGCGGCACAGCGTTATCTAGAAAATCCTCACTCAACTGCAGTTTGTATGTACTTCTATGAGACGGCGACGTCTATTATACCGTTCGGGACATATTGCCTTCTTTTTTTTTTTTCTCGTTTCTTCGTCTCTATGTTACGCGTGACAAGGTTAGACTAAGAGGAGCTTCACCCCTAAAAAATCACAGCTGCACATCCACGGAGTGAATGAAGATGAGAGGGGCGAAGCTTCGGAGGGTTTTATTGGTAAACCGTGAATCATCCACCTGTCCATCCGTCCGTCTGTCTGCCCGTCTACCTGTCTATCTCTCCGTCCATCCGTCCATCCGTCTGTTTGTCTGTCCGTCCATCTAGTGAACACTCCAAGTACCGCCATCTCGCATCTTTTCATTACGAGGAGACCGACTCGGAAGGGTAGTCACAGATGTATTTACAGCTGGTTAAGCGAGCAGCGCCAGCCACAGAGATTAGCTCGCGCCAGTCTATATGCTTTTCTTTTTTCAACTCCATGCACTGGCACGTAGCAATATATTCATCTTATACAAGTACCGCCATCTAGCGGACATTCCAAAAATTAAACGAGAGGTGGCTGCCTACAAGCAAGCAACTACATATACGCACGACCCACGGTTTGAGGAGGTTCGCCCCCAAACATGTTGGCTTAAAGCTATCACTCCTTCAGGGCTGCTTGACATATATCGTTTAACATAAAAATCATTCCCATAGGCACGCAGTCACAAACGCCGACAGTAATAAATTCGTTCAGTAAAACTGATATGTAGTTATGAATGTACAAAAACATGCTGCGGATACCTCTCATTCCACGTTGTAAACAGAGCCGTCCGTGAAACGCACTTCGCTCTGGAAAAGACTACGCCGTATACGCTTAACAAAAATTAACGATGTCTTCTCCGATCGGGCAGGTCGTCGCAACGACCCCCTCCCCACCCCCCGCTAGCTCCGCCGGAAAAAAATTTCTGGCTACGCCCCTGTTATGGCGAGATGAATTTGGTATCGAAAGATGTATTCGCTATGATCTACGCATTCGAGCTGAGCATACACCAATTGAAGACATTGAAAACGAAACTTGGCACGTCATACTTATCCCTGTATTGTCCTGTTTGAATCCGTGAGTACTGTACGAACTCTGAAATTTTTGGGCCGGTAGATTGCCAAATTAATTCCCGTGCATTGCTGTGCTCAGCATTGTCACTTTTTTTGGGAGGGGGGTTGGGGGGGGGGCACTATCTATCGTTGGTTCAGATCACATCTTGCATTCCTCGGGAGTATTGGAATCGCCAGTATTTCTTCTTTTTTGTATTCCCAGCCCGCTGTCATGGCTTTATATTTCGTCTAGCTGACACGCGCTTTCACGAGTTCGAAGCTGCATTTTTAGGCTTGAAACAGTTGCAGGAACATTTACACAACAAAAATCATTTCTTGTCACTTTACACCTCGAAAAAAACGCATTTGAAACTCGCGCCATTAAACGTAATACGTCGCTCCTACAAAATAATTTCTCAAATAAATAACACGTTACAATATAACTTTAAAAACAAATAAGCACGTTAAAAGTTTTAGTTACGTTTTTATGCAAAGTGAAAAACATTTTGCTTGAAGTTAGGGCTAAAACGTTCTCACGCTCGCAACATTGGGTAGTCGTAACTGGGGCAGACCGTCGTCATTGAAATTTTTGGCGAAATAGGGGATAATGATACGGAATCGCTGAAATACTTAGTGTTATTATGAGCTTAAAGAGTCTTCTAAGCGAGCTCGTGGCGAAGATTGCCTCGGGTTCGTTCTCGACTTCGTTCAACGCGCTTGTAGAAGTGTCCAAGCTCTGCCGGAAGGACTCCGCAGCTGTTTCTGAATTCTGCGCTCTCGGAGGAATATCGGCGCTCCTCGGGCTCGTGGAAAAGCCCAAATACTCGGATATATGTCTCAGCATACTCGCTAACTGCTGTTTAGTCGACAGAGCTCGCGAAGAGGTACGCTTTGACTGCAGTGTTTAGCGGCCTTCCGCTACCGTTGTTGTCGGTTGTTGATGTTTTTATTTTTGCTTGCTTTTAAGGTCATCAGGCGGGGCGGCTGTCGAAGCATTGGTAAGAACTTCTCCATTTTCTGTACACGTCCTTAGTGCATTTTTTCTTCGGTTCGCGTGGGTTTCGTACTAAGAGAAAGGAAGCTTTTCTTCCAGCACGAATCTTATCATGCATCGAAAAGGAGAGCGTTCGGAATCGAGCCTGCCGGGGACTCGCCAACGTAGCGATGACCAGTCGAGGGGCCAAAGAGATTCACAGCTGTAAGGCTGTGGAACACATAGTCACATTCCTCACTTCACCGACGTCGTGCGAGAGCCAAGTCACAGCGCTGCGCGCAGTAAGGTAAGTGGGCGGTGGCCATCCGCGCAACGCGCGCTTTTTAGTTTCGATTTCGATGTTCAAAGCGTGCGTGCGCTTGCGTTGTATCGTGCGATACGATTCCGTGTAAACGCTTGCAGGATCCTCGCCAACGCTCCTGAATGCCGCGACGACCTAGTTGCCTTGAAAGCACCTGCTGCGGCCGTTAAATCCCTGCAGAGCGAGGCCCTCCAGAAGCACGCAGTGCAGGCGCTGGCGTCGTTGACGCAGTCCTGTAGCTTGGAATGTGCTTTGCAGGTAATGTAAACACATCTATGCTATCAGCCACCGGCAGAAGTTCTGCCAGTTGCAGGGAAGATGCTTAGGCGTGGTAAGAAATTGTTCGGCATATCGCTTTAGAAGTTCGCGCATTGTTATACGACGCACTTTTCAATCGCGATCTAGCCCGATCGGGATCGATCGTGATTGGCCGGTTGCGATTGGTCTGTGGCGATTGGCTCATTTGCATTGGCTGAGAAAAAAAAAAGGCAATCGACGTAGATGAATTCGATTGGAACTGGGCTCAATTGCGCTGAAAGGTGCACGTACACTACGTCGAGCGCTGTTGTATCACGTGTGCCAGCAATCAGTTATGGCCCATTTTTCATTCGAAAACTTGGAATTCACTACAATCTCAACACTCGATAGTGATGCTGTAAAGAAAAAAATATCAATAAATCAGTCGGTGTGCAGTGGCCTACCAGCTCTTTCGCGAGTGGGGGCGCAGACCTACTTCACTCATCAGCCGGAATATATATTGTAGGCCCGTGTACTCAGATTTGGGTGCACGTTAAAGAACCCCAGGTGGTCAAAATTTCCGGAGCCCTCCACTACGGCGTCTCTCATAATCAAATGGTGGTTTTGGGACGTTAAACCCCACAAATCAATCTATATATATATATATATATATATATATATATATATATATATATATATATATATATATATATATATATATGGGAAAGAAGTGTATACCTAAGGGTTCGTTTTTCCGTGTTTTAACACAATATTAATGAGATATAACAGACAGTAATGCCGAGGAATGTACAGGGGAAGTTATTAAAACCAATGGAATGTAAATAAGAAGAAAAGTGGATGAAAAAATTACCAACTGTGAGCAGGAATCGAACCTACGACCAATATATATATATATATATATATATATATATATATATATATATATATATATATATATATATATTGTTAAGGCGTTTATTAGCCAGCGCACAGCGAGCAAGCACAATGGCGACAGTAACGGCCAAGCACGGGCTCTCAGCGCGAGCGGCGTCCTTGTTCGGTAGCCCCACTAGAAGGTACTCAAGAGTTCGACCCATTTCATAGTTCGGAGGCATCGCTACAATTACCCCGGGGTCGAAGAGGGAGCCGCCTCGCGACCTAACAGCTTGTTATTATGAGCGGGTCATAATAAGCCTTCAGGCGCTCCACGTTGACGATGTCTCGCCCACGGCGGCGCATGTCCGAAGATTGTTCAACGGGTTCGATCAGATAGTTGACGGGTGAGGTGCGCTCGATGACACGGTAGGGGCCTTCGTATTTGGGACGTAGTTTGGAAGTGAGGCCAGCGGCAGAGGTCGGGATCGAGAGCCATACAAGTGCACCAGGAAGGAACGTGGGCTCAGAAGTGGTGGCGGCATCACGGATACTCTTCTGCCGCTCTTGCTCTTGCGTCGTAAAAGTCTTGGCAAGCTCGCGACACTCTTCAGCAAGCCTGGCTGTCTCGGAAATAGGTGTACACTCAGATGGATCCGGCGTGTACGGGAGTATCGTGTCCATGGTGTGTGACGGGTGCCTTCCGTACAGCAAGTAGAAAGGTGAAAAACCAGTCGTGCTCTGAGAGGCGGTGTTGTAGGCGTAGGTGACGAAGGGCAGTATATTATCCCAATTAGTGTGGTTGGCAGCGACGTACATAGAAAGCATGTCGCCGAGGGTGCGGTTAAAGCGTTCGGTGAGGCCATTCGTCTGTGGGTGGTAAGCAGTAGTTTTGCGGTGGACAGAATGGCACTCCGTCAGAATGGCTTCGACGACTTCCGACAAGAAGACACGGCCTCGATCGCTGAGAAGCTCTTGGGGTGGTCCGTGGCGCAGTATAAATCGATGCAGCAGGAAGGACGCAACATCGCGCGCAGCAGCCGCAGGGAGAGCGGCGGTTTCGGCGTATCGCGTTAAATGGTCAACGGCAACGATGGCCCAGCGGTTACCAGCCGACGTCAGAGGAAGTGGTCCATACAAATCGATACCTACGCGCCCAAAGGGACGGTCAGGGCAAGGTAACGGTTGTAGACTGGCGTGCGACATGTGAGCTGACGGTTTACGGCGTTGGCAAGTGAGGCAAGAGCGAACCAACTGCTGCACATAGCGGTACATCCCGCGCCAAAAGTAGCGTTGTCGAATGCGATGGTAGGTTTTGAATACCCCAGAGTGCGCGCATTGCGGATCAGAATGGAAGGATTCACAAATCTCTGACCGCAGACTGCGGGGTATCACGAGTAACCACTGCTGGCCATCGGCGTCGTAATTGCGTCGGTGTAGAAGGCCGTCACGAATGGCGAAATGGCGAGCTTGACGACGCAATGCACGCGTGGATGGCGTTGCGGATGGATCAGAGAGCAAGTCGATCAGCGGGCCGATCCAATTATCCTTTCGCTGTTCGATAGCGATTATGTCAACGTCAATGGCAGAAACAGCAGCTGAGGATACTGAGCAGAGCACATCACCTTCAGGCAGAGGGGAGCGCGAGAGGGCGTCGGCGTCAGCATGCTGGCGTCCGTTGCGGTACAGCACGCGGATGTCGTAGTCTTGTAAACGAAGAGCCCAACGGGCGAGACGGCCTGAGGGATCCTTCAATGATGAAAGCCAGCATAGTGCATGATGGTTGGTGACGACATGGAATGGGCGACCATACAAATACGGTCGAAACTTTGTAAGAGCCCAGACGATCGCCAGGCACTCTTTCTCCGTGACGGTGTAGTTTGTCTCAGCTCTCGTGAGCGTACGGCCTGCATATGCTACGACATATTCAGGGAATCCGGGTTTGCGCTGCGCCAGGACAGTGCCGAGGCCTACACCGCTGGCGTCTGTGTGCACCTCCGTCGGGGCCGTAGGGTCGTAGTGGCGTAGAATGCGAGGAGACGTCAACACATGGCGGAGCTTCGCGAACGCGTCGTCGCACTCAGACGACCAGGAATTGAGGGACCCGTTACTTTCAAGGAGCTTCGTCAGCGGTGATATGATTGTGGCAAAGTTTCGTATGAAGCGTCAGAAGTACGAGCACAGGCCCACGAAACTACGCAGTTCTTTGACGGACGCAGGTTTGGGGAATTCGGCCACGGCCCGAAGCTTGGCTGGGTCAGGAAGAATGCCATCCTTGGACACGACGTACCCAAGGATGGTGAGTTGCCGTGCTGCAAAGCGGCACTTCTTCAGATTTAGTTGCAAGCCGGCATTGCTGACACGTGCAAAAACTTCTTTCAGACGTTGGAGTTGCCAGAGAAATCTGGAGCGAACACAACAACGTCATCGAGGTAACACAAGCACGTGTGCCATTTGAAGTTGCGCAGAACGGTGTCCATCATGCGCTCAAAGGTCGCAGGTGCATTACATAGACCAAACGGCATGACGTTGAATTCGTACAAGCCGTCGGGTGTGATGAACGCAGTCTTCTGTCGAGCGTCATCAGCCATGGGTACTTGCCAGTACCCCGAGCGCAGATCGAGAGAAGAAAAAAATTCGGCTCCGTGAAGGCTGTCAATTGCGTCATCGATGTGCAGCAGTGGGTAAACATCCTTGCGAGTGATCTTATTGAGGCGTCTGTAGTCTACACAGAACCGCGCAGAACCATCTTTCTTCGCAACAATATGTGTGTGTGTGTGTGTGTGTGTGTGTGTGTGTGTGTGTGTGTGTGTGTGTGTGTGTGTGTGTGTGTGTGTGTGTGTGTGTGTGTGTGTGTGTGTGTGTGTGTGTGTGTGTGTGTGTGTGTGTGTGTGTGTGTGTGTGTGTGTGTGTGTGTGTGTGTGTGTGTGTGTGTGTGTGTGAGAGAGAGAGAAAGAGAGAGAGAGAGAGAGAGAGAGATGTAATATTATGGGGCCCCTGTGTAGCGCTTGCCTCCTCTGCAATAGTATACAGCGCAAGACGCGAAAACGTCGCATAGGCGACTTGCACAGCAAAGAACCTAAAAAAAAATCATCATAGCGGAAATGTTAGCAAAATTTCACTATGTTGTAATATTGCCTCGTGACATTTTCCTTCTACCGTTAGAACATAATTGAGTTATTACTGTGGTGACAGAAAACATCGCCTTACTTGTTGGTTCCCCAGCCTGCAGCCAAGAGCGACCTCTGTCGAAATGTGGGGGCTCAGACTCCCCAAGTTTTCCCAGTGGGGGGGGGGGCTCGTGTCTCTCTTGCTCCTTCGGCTGGTACGCGTATGTCAGAGTACACCTGCACTGGCTGTCGATGTTGTAAAGGTTCCAAAATGGTCTTTCCTACTTAAGTTGCACACAACTTGGAAGTGAGGATGATAGAGAGGCATGATTTTTGGTGGGATGTTTGCACACACATAAAGGTATGTTCTATGACAAAACCTCCTGAATGTGATGTGCATGGCCCCATTACAGAATATGCAGGGTTATTGAGCTTGCATCAACGCATATGTGTTCATGCGAGCTCAACGTTCCTGCATGTCCTGTAATGGGGTCATGCATAATGGGGTCTTCATCATGTATTGATGTGATATCACATCAACACATTATGGAGGACATGCTAGGCTGAACATGAACAGAAGTTGAATATTGCTTAGATATTGTGCTTGCTGAAGTTAGCGTGCACACTAAACTCTGTTTACTGGCTGCCAAGACTGTTATAATGCCAGCCACAGCTTCCAATCTATCCTCATTTTTGACATGAACACGATCGAACTTGGATTGATCACTTTGGAACACCCTGATTATGCGGTATAGCCCTATTTTGTGAAACATATCACACTAGTTCATTGATTGGCTTGCTTTGCCATTATCACACACTGCCTGCAGAATTGGTACGCTGATCTGTGATTGGCTGTTCCTCAAAATAGTGCAGTGCTGAATTGCATGTAATTATTTTTTGCACCAACTAGGTATGGTGTGTATGAAACCACTGCAGAAACCCTGGGAAAGCAGCATATTGTTTATAAAAGAAATTTTGCTGCTGATAATGAATATGTTTTGCACTAAATATAATTTGGGTACTGCTTATGATTTACTTTGAATTTATACAGAGAACAGCGTGAGCAGCGAGCTGATCTGTGAAGGCATTTCGTGTGGGAATACATGTAAACCTTGAGCTGCAAACTTGACTGTTCACTCATTGCTGGGCTTTCTCGCAGGCAGATATACAACGACCAAAAGCTAGCCAGGAGAACTTGCTATGAGTCGCATGCTCTACACAACACATTAAATTTTTCTCATTCGGTCTTGTACTAAGACTGTTAGCAAGTAGCATTCGCCTGTTTCGGATAAATTGCTGAATTCCTCAAAGCATTTGTGTGCAATACTTACCTCCATCACTCGCTCTTTTACTCCCACTCATTCACTTAGTGTCCCTGGTTGACTTCATTCCTTAGCCGCAACTAAGTTACATTTCTCAAGCCAAAGCTGGAATATGAAAATTGGGTATCCTTAGTTACTTCACCGATTGACATACTCCACATCTCACTATGCTTGCAGATGCACTCAAACCTCATTATAACAAAGTCGCACTTGCCGTGAAAATACTTTGTTATATCTGAAAGTTCGTTATAAACATGTATTTGCAGTACTGTATCTAGGACAGTTATTCTGTGTTTACATCGTTATAAGCAATAATTTGTTACATCTGAATTAGTTACATCCAGGTGTGACTCTAATATCATTTCTCTAATCCAACACTGCCATCCTTAATTGTATCCTGCAGATTAAAGATGCTGATGGATTCAAGGCTCTGGAGGAACTTCTTCAAGTATCGGAGAGCGCAGTGCTCGAATCTGCTTTTGCAGCTCTTGCCAACCTTTCTGTAGTAGGCGATGTACGGCCAGACCTCGGTGCTGCTCAGGCTATCTCTGCCCTCATAAAGCAGCTCACTGACTACAAGCTGGCAAAACCAAGTGAGGCTCTGTTTTGCAGTGCTCTTTTTATTTTTAGCACTTCACTTTCATAACCTTGTGTGTAAAGTTAGTCTGTTTAAATTGCCAGAACTAAAATAAAATGTAGTAAAGAACACAGGTGTGGTTTCCACTAGTCAGTGCGGCCGATGGGGGTGAGGACGGTGGAAACGTGCTACTGACAGAAATACCTCCTGTGTGTATGTTTAAAAGCAAAGTGCGTGTTGTGGTGGATTATGTGCCTGTGATGGCCTTGGTGGACACAGGTGCAACGTTTTCCAGTGATGAGTGCTTCCTTTAAAGACGTGTTAGGGCGGAAAGTTGTTTTTACCTGGGATGAAACTTCGACGTTCTGTGGAGTGAGTGGAGAGCTGTTGCGCCCTACTAGTGTGTGTAGTGCTGAAGTATTTTTGGGAGGCCTTGTCATAATGACAGAGTTTGCGATTATTCCTCGGTCGACACATGACGTCATTCTCGGCATGGACTTTTTGCGAGAATGTGGTGCCACTGTAGACTGCCGCACGGGGAAAGTCTTTGTGGGTGGCCAGATGCCGTCAGAAATTCTCGAAACTCCAGCGGACGACCAAACTACGCTGTGTGTCTGTGGCAATACGTTCATACCTGCATTCACCGTATACGCTTTGTTGTCTTCGTGCATGTGCGCAACATTGTCATTTTTTTTCAGTATTGTCTTGGCAAAATCGGCTCTTGGGTGTATGTGAGCAACTGAGAGATTTATAATCGAAACTTTTGCCTAAGTATGCCTTATTTCAAATGAGCAACCCCTCATCCCTTATGTAGTGCCCTGTTTAGGGTCCTTAAAGGTTAATAAATGATGATAAAATTTATCTGCTGGACCAATATATGTCTTATAGTGAAGCTTCTGTTGCACACCATCTTTGGCTTAGCTTAACATGTCTTTGCTCGTGCTGAATATTATACACATTAAAGCACACTTATGACATAGTATTTAGTGTATATGGTAGTGTTAACCAGCCATATGAACATGCATCTGATTAACTCCGTTGTATAATGCATCATGCATTGTTACAACGAACAATACCCTTTTTTCCCTTAATTTTTAATAGAACAGGCTATTTATAGTGCTTGCTTGTTGTATGCCATTTTATTTACTGAGTGACATGTATTGTGGTAAGGCGAAGGCTCAGCCTGAGTCGGTGTACTTGCTATTCACCACTGAGCATGGGAAATGGGCTTTAAGAGGGAGGGAGTAAAGGCTTTAACCCTTTCAGAAGCCACCTATGGAGAACTATATCTGTAAATGTGTCAGATCACTACCACGTTACTTGAAGGCACTCAATATTTTATTGCAACAAAAATAATGAGATAATTATTGAATTTATTTGCATTATAAAACATCATTCTAATTAAGTTGCAATTAAATGTCTTTATCCTGAAGTCATTGACTATTACTTTTGCATAAACACAATCAGACCTCAGGCTAGGAATATTGTGCAAATTTATTTTTGGATATGTCAATTTTGAGCAAAGAAAGACTGCTTTTTACATTGTTTGCAAAAAGCGGCATGTCGCACGACTCTTTGAACGTGGTAGTGTCTTCAGAAAAGTGATCATATGTATCAGTATGCCGCATATTGAAGTTAAATAATGACAAACTAATTATGCAAGAGGTTCAGTTCATCCAAAGTATGATATATCTTGCTTTTCTTAGCCTTTACTTGATGCAGATAACAAAAACGAGTGGTGTACTCAATTGTGTACATAGTGTGTCAAAGGGTTAAGTATAGTGTTTGGCAGAGGTAGTGGTGACTAAACTTGAATAGCCAGAAGCTCTTTGAAGTGTAATAACAAGACAGCTCTCTCGAAAGTATTCGATGAAACCCTTGGCAGTATCACAGCTGCAACAAAGATCAGGCCAGTATCTTAGCAGAACCTTTCCAGATAGTATAGTAACTGCTGCATAAACTTCCACAAATATTCTGTCGATGCTTTCATTGCTCAGCATATTGCGAACAGATGCACAAGATGTGTGCTATGGTCCCTGGGTATTGTAATTGTCGCTATCCAGACTGTTTGCGCAGTCAGTAAGGTGTAGTAAGCCACTAGCGCCAAGTGAATGCCACAGTTTGAATGTCACAACATAAGAATGAAGGGTGCCTTATGCATAAGAGCGAGCAGGCAGTCCAACACTTCCTCAGGTTACTACATACAACAGTAAGTCTTCCATCTATTGTCACTTATCACTTCCATCTATTGTCACTTAGTATTGTCACTTATCCATGTTTTAATTTATTTCCAAATTTTTTTTCAGGTTATGGAACACTTTTTTCGTCTTTGTGCCGCTACAGTCAGGAATCCGTCAACAGGATCCGTATTCGAGAATCTGGAGGCCTCGGTCTGCTGGTGCAGGCACTGTCGGACCAGAGTAGGAAAGAACTGTGGTCTTGTTGCGTCTGTGCAATCCTTCAAGTTTCGTTACGACGAGCCGAGTCTTGCCGTCCTTTGGAGCCTCGATCTTGTTCCTACTTTACTGGTGCACATCACAGACTACACTAAAGATCACCAGGAAGATCAGCATTGCCACAGATTCTTCACCAAATGCAATGGAGGACCAAAATTTATCAACAGCGTCGGGAGAAATCAATGGCATTGGTGATAGGCTGTTTGGAACTAAAGTCAACAGGCTTAAGAGGTTCAGGTGTAAAAGATGAAGACGTTACTAGTGATATGGCTGGGAACAAAAGCCCAGGTAGTCGCCAGGCTGTGCCACAGATTTCCACTTTGGACATTGGCGATAATCTGCAGACCAGGAGAACAATTACGTGTGTGAAGCATATAAAGCCAGAAGTGAAGCCACAGATTATGATGATGCCACCGAGCAAGCTCTTAATCAGGAAGCTTCTTCAGAGTTGAGCAGGTATCCTAGCAAGAACACGTTTTGTATTCATAGTCCAAGTTACCGAGAGATCGAAAGACAGAATTTAGGGCTGGACGTTGGAGGTTACTGCTCTGACTTGGGCTACCACAGCAACCCGGCATCACCCGACCACGCCAGGCGTCCAGTGTCACCGCTTTTGGGAGCATGGAGCCCGAGTTCTACGGACAGCGGGCTGTGGTCACCATGCAGTACTCCACGCTGTGACTCGCCGGTGTCAGTAGCTTCGCCCGAGCCTTTCCGCAGCTTCTCTCCCATCTGTTCTGAGAACGACAGTGACTCGGAACAACCCATTCCCTCTTACGTGAAGAACATGGTAGAGTCGGTGTGCAGGGACATTCCGAAGAAGACCGAGTTCATCAAGCGAAAACGCTCTTCGTTGTGTGACGACCAAATCACAAAAGCATCTGGCCACTCAAGAGGCACAGAGGACGACTCTCCTCCAAGTCGCGCCAAACGAAGGCGTCGACGAACTTTGTCAGAGTCCGTCACGTTTGCCTACAAGGACTCACAGGAGATGCTCCTCGATGGAATGTTTAAGATCCTTACAGTGTTTAGCCTGATAGAAATGCCGGAATACAAGTTGGGGTCCACAGGTCTCTTTGAAGGTTTGATGCGCTACCTGTATGACGTCCCAAGTCCCTTGCAAAGGGCTAGCCATATCATGTCGAAGATAACATCCAATTTACACTCTTTTGAAGAGATCGTTTGTAAAGGAGAAGTACTAAGACTTGTAGAAAGCATGGTGGCGTGCGGTTTAAAGGGATGCAAGCACTGTCGACAGTTTCGAGACCTCGGCAGGCACTGGTTGTCCAATCTGACTCATGTGGCAGAGTCTGGCTATGGGAGCGGTGTGCTGGCACACTGCTTGCTGACGCAGAGCAAGGAGATTCAGAACTGGTGCTGTCTCACTATACCTTACATTGTTCGGTGAGTGCTCTCTTGGCAGTTATTTGTAGGTTTTATTAATATGAGACCATTGATCACACTTTGAAGATGCTAATACTGCAGGCTTGTTCCGAGTGTTGGTTCGATACAGGTTGTTTCTTAGCAAATGAGCTTTCTGCTTCTACTTGTGTTTATAGCTGCATGAACACTGATATCAGTGACGCTGCATAGTCATGGCAAGGTGGGTTCTCGTTTGACTTTCAATCAGGTTGTGATGCCCAATATAGGAAAACTTTAGCATGCTAGGTATTCATAAAATCAATTATCTCTGAAACACAAATTCTCTCGATAGGCAGCAACTGTTCGGCCGATGTGAATGAAAAATTGTTCACTTAATAAGAAAGCCAGATTTTGTTGTATGTTTGTTGCAACTTCCTTTAATATGCTAAAAATTTCTTAGGAGCGACTGAAATGGATGGGTGAAAATGCACTTGCAGTCTTGAAATGCGAGGTAATGTGCCTTTAAATTGTAGACGCACTTCTACACCCTTCATCGCAGTCCTTGCAGCGTCTTGTGGAGTTGTTAACAGAAACAGTAAATGCTTGGACTGATCAATGAGAGCTGTAGTGGCTAGCAATTTGAACCGGCCCCTTAGCTATGTAAAAGCTAACAAACAGCAACAAGAAATCCACCACCGCATCACACCTTGTTTTTGTGCAGGGCGGAGTAGCTTCTTCCGAAATTGAAAGGCATCATTCAGTTAGTGCACAGAACTTATCCTTAGCATAGTGGTTTGACATATTGGAAGCTTTACACTAGCACTAATGCTACAGGGGCAGCAAAAGACTATGCAATGGTCTGGGCTCCAGTCAGGCCGCTGTTCCCTCTTTTTCGGAGTGAATGAATGAAAAGAAACATTGCACAGTGACATAGCATGAGCATGAACAATGTACTGGCCACACTTTCATATTGAAGCTTGCCTTACACAGATATACAAAAGTTCAAATGCTTGTGTTGACCAGGTGTTTTTTCATGTCACATCATTTCTGCTTTCTTAAAACTAATCATTTTGCTTTTGTTCTTGCAGTGATAAGTCCATTCTACGTCAGCTACTGTTTGACTGCTTGGCATTGGATGCACTGCTGGACATCTTAGAAGAAGGCAAATGTGCGACAGACAAAACATTTCGCCAGGCGGTCGATAGTCTCGCCGCCTTGTGCACGTCGATATCAGAGAGACGAACACTGCTTAAAACCTGCTTCAGAAGGTGCGTCTGGTGCGAGCGACGCCTGCCGCCTCGAAGCGTTCACTATGGACGTGCAACTGCAAGCCGACGACGGGAGCAAGGTGACCGGCAACAGGCACCGGTTGAGCGAGGTAAATGACTACTTCAGGACAATGCTCGACGGACACTTTGTCGAGAAGGACCAGAAAGTCGTCGCGTTCCGCAGCGCCCGTGGGAAGCCGCTGAGCGTTGTGATACACTTCCTCCACGGTTGCAACTTTCAGACGTGCGCATTTATGAGCAGTGAACTGTCGGTAAACGTGCAGCTGGACGTTTTGGGTCTTTGTGACCTCATACTGCTCCCTAGTTTGCAGAGGGAGGTCGAGGTCAGAGTAAGGCAAAACCTCAAGTTAGAAAGCGCATGTGACGTGTATGGTCGAGCTCTAGAGCTTGGCATGACTGGCTTTCGCAAGGCTGCATTGTGGTTTGTGTTGACAGAGAAAATGGATTCTAAGCGCCAGTGTGAGTGCCTCTTTGAGCTGGTCAGTGGGAAGTATGGGGGCCAAGTTTTAGACGACGTTACAAGTTTGGTCCGTCAAAATGTGTATGTTAATGACAGTCCCTAGTACCACGTAGCCAAACCTGTTTCGGGTTTTTTGTTGTACATAGACACTGTATATAAAGTTTCTATGCTGCTTGCAAAGTATAACGTTAGAAGGAAACTGAAGGAAAACTATCGAGAAGAGTAGAGTGGTAGTTTGACAGAATTCCTTAGACAAGGTCATCAGCTTGGTTCATCTGGACCTAGACCATGACGGTTTGAGCGTTGTTGAAACGGGTGCTTATCTGAGAGTGTGAATGATGTGTATATCTGCGTATCTCGTGTTTAGAGTGGACAATAAAGTGCACGATTAAGCGAAATCTTCGGACTCCATTTTCTGTTTAACACTTCAGTTCCAGATAGTATTCATATGGCACAGTTAGAAATGGCCATCAAACATTTGTGAACTGCACGCAGTTAAAAAAAGGACAACACAAAGAAGCTGCTCAAAACAAACATCTGTTTGGCATCTTCTTTCATGCTATCTTTTTTAATTGTGTGCAGTTCACAGTTATTTAATAAAATGCGCCAACTGGTCTGTCAAGATCTTTTAATTAGTAATGGCTACTTGCTGGTAGCTGCCACTGCCAAGAGTACCTCGAGCATATGGGTATGTTGGCTAGTTAACTCCGGAAACTTTGAGGAGCCAATTAGCACTAGAGTAAAGCAAGTTATCTGTACTCACACACTCTTTTTTCTTCTTTGCAACAAAAATGAGGGTTGGCAAAGGTGTCTATATTCATACTTTAGTTATGCTACATATATATAAAAATTAAACCTAAATTTCTGCACAATATTATGGCAAGAGTGAAAGCCTTCCGAGCTATTAGAAAATGAGAACCGAACCTCACAGATAGTGAAAAATCATTACAATTGAATCTTCAAGTAAAAAATAGGGTAAGTAGTATGCTCGTGAATGCAAGAGAACTGGCCTGTTTCTTTTCTCTTGTGACTGTGTCTGACAAGTTTCAATCATTTATTTTATTTTTAAAGAAAGGCTCTACTTGGTAGCTGTCCTTACGTCGTCCACTTTGCAGATGAATGGCAGCATCAGGAAGAGAACATTGTGGCTCATTCTTTTCTTGAGCTAGTTCTTTTTGAACTTCTTAAGTGACCAGACTGATGCTGCAGGTTTGGGATCAGCAAGCTATGAGCGATAGACCCCAAGGGTGGCATAGAAATAAGCAGGAGACATCACCTCAAGTTCATGCTCGAGATTTGACACACGCGAGCCGGCGTGTGATGCTTTACGTGTGGCATGTTTCACTTGTGACCTACGCTGGTGCAAACTTGTGCAGCACGCATACACATTGTGCCATTGCACTTTGTTTCTCCCAATCAGGATAATGCAACCCGTGCATCTTGCCTAACAATATTGTCATGCCGGGTGGTACATTCGTGTGGACACTTGGATATGTGGAGTCGGGTGCTGGGTTGCACAAAAGGTCCTGAATGTAGTCACTGAGCCTCACTGCTTGCGTTGGAAGCACTGAAGGAGTCCGCATTAAATTCTCGGCAATTTATGCAAGAGCTGCTTGTTTTTCAGTAGTGTTAAGCAAGCCTAGTTGGTATAATAGATGCATGAACAGTGGAAAAAACAAAAACAAGAGGCAAAAGGGAAGAACCTGTGTCCTATGCAGTTTTTTGTTTCTCATGTGTTTTCGCACTGTTCATCTATATGCATGCTGGTGAAATGCACGCTTTGCGGCACACACCATTCCCATTTCTACAGCTGTAGGTATTCTCCGTAATCATTTGCACAATACTAAAAAATCGAAAATGCGATTTCATTTGTAATGTATTTATTCATCGTAACTTATTTTTAGCGCACACTGACACACGGACAAAAAAAGGAAAGGTACAACACTAGCGCTGGTGTTGTACCATCTTCTTTGTGTGTCAGTGTGTGCTAAAGTTAAGTTACGATGTACGCACCAACTTGGTCGTCTTGCAATATTACTCCAGTATATTTATTCTGCTCACATCCATGCAGCGACCGTAGTGTTTGCTTTTTTTTTTGTAGCACCTGCTGACTCGTTGTCCAGGCCAACACCTGTGAACACTGCTGTATTCTATGACACTGCCGATTTTACTCGTGTCTGTAATTTCATGTCTGAAGAGATTGAATGCCACACCATCAGAAACCATGAGTAGTCTGGCTCCCCATACTCGAATTTCAGAATTACAAGTTGACAATGCAGTTTCCACAGATTGATGGTGTCATGTCTCTGTAAAACTACAATTTCCTATGATAAAGTGTGGATGCATAATGTGACATTAAATGTTGTTACTATTACATCTAAAGATAAGGGCATGAACCAAAATCAACTGGCTCAAATTTTTCTTGTGAAGCGTTGCGATAGACTTCACACTTTATAAGCTAGGACAGAAATTCTACTTTAATGTTTGGCAAACTGAACTTACAATTGAACATGCAAGAATAATGCGTGGCAATTGCAGACGAACATTTAAAAGCTGCACATTAGTTGAAGCATCTTCTACATACAAGCTTCACTCATGTTAAGGAAAAGCTAAAGCTAGGAGTCAGCAGATTAGACATTTAGAAGAGTTGGTACTTGTGAACGTTTCCATGTGGTCATGAAAATGTCCAAAACGATAGCGTAAAAACAGTGCTTTCCTGTATTATTTCCTATCCTGCTTTTTCACCGTTAGCACAGCTACATCAGGATGTCCTGCCACAGTATGCGTTATTTCTTAAAATATGTAAGCCCAACCCTTTTGAACGCTTCAACCTTTTTGTGTCAGCACTTCTATATTCTTCACATCTGACACACGTCCCTCCATACTGCTTGCTTTTATCAATGTTGGCATCTGGCTTCGCATTTCGATGGCCTAGTAGAGCTGTGTTGTTGACTGTTACTGATGATAACTCTTCGCTGACACCTTGCCCGGATAAATCTTACCAAAGCCTTGGCTAGTTTAGGGCTGCAACACAAGCTGTGTTGCTTGACGATGAAGTCTCATAAACTAGTTGTAGAATAATTGCAATGACTTTTTTTTTTACTACAACTTAGTACACAGCTTACCTGAGCTGTTCTTCAGTATGATTACTATATTGCATGAAATATGTTATAAAAAATAAAATGAAAAACATGCCGAGATATACTTGTTGCAGTGCTATTTAGTGGCATCAGCAGTTTAATTATCAATTGCAATTTTTCGTTGTTTCTTGGCAATACTGTTAGGCGACCTTCTAAGCCATCTGCACATTTCTAAGTACACTAACTTGGAAACATTCAATCACACTTTGATAGCTAAAATTGCCTAAGTAGTAAATGTAGTTTAAGATTAGACCTGTTTCAGTGCAACACATTCTTAATATTTTTGAAAGATAAGAAAAAAATTCTACCAAACAAAGTTATCAGCACACATGGTAATTTGTGAGCATGTGTGAAAGGAATGAAGAAATGATCGGACCTAGACTTCAATAACTTGCTTGGTGAAAGTGCAGTTTGCAAATTGGATAGTGCATTTACTGCTGTTATATTAAGGTGAAAGTCTTCAATGTCTCATACTCATGGTGACCGGCTGCATCTGGCTGTGCAGTGGATGCTAACACGCACAACCTCAATGAGTTTCCGCACTTGCACTGGCATTCTCTTTTGGCTTTGTCAGCATATATAACTTGGGATTACATCAACCGCAGCATAAAATTCCACCCCTTGAAGGCCTTTAAGTGTGCTTAATATCCTGCTAACGTCACCAAATGCAAACTATAACGCACACATTTAGAGATAGTGATCCAAATGAAAACAGTGACAACAGAAGGCACTTCTACAGATCAAAGCCCCTGATAACCCGGACTGCACCTTTCAGCTTTGCTGGTTATTCATCTGTACTAAATGCTCGAACAGTAAGATTAAGGCTCTCTCCCTCTTGAACTCTCTCAGCAACCACATGACGGCACAGCGGCATGTGTGCAGATGTCACGTTGCAGCATTCGAGTTGGTTGGATGGCTCTCACACGCACGAGTCTCCCCTGTAGCGCTGCCACAATCCGACCGCTCGTGCAAGAAGGGGAATTCACCAAGTGTTTCATTCTGACTCACCATAGGCATATTAGCCGGGGAAGGGGGGGGGGGGGCAAGCCCCCTTACTTTTGGCAGTGGTCACTCTTCGCTGCACGCTGGGGAAACCCACAAGTGAAGCGCAGTTTTCGATCACAACAGTAACCACTCAATTATGTTCTTACGGGAGAATGAAATTGTTGCAGGGCTATGTTACAACATAGTGAAATTTTGCCAAGATTGCCGCTGTGGTGATTTGCCTTGTAGGTTCTCATATATATATATATATATATATATATATATATATATATATATATATATATATATATATATATATTCCAGCTGACGAGTGCGGTAAATTTGCCCACTCACTTGTAAAAGAGTTGGTACGCCTCTGTGACTGACCCTCATCTCAGTGAGCACAGGCTTTCACCGAACACATTTTGGAATTTACAAAGTGTCCTTCAATTGTTGCTCTTTCACATGTCATCATATTGATCCAAGTGCTAGCTCCAGTGAATTGCAATTGCACAATTTCTTGGCAATTATAGCCCGTTATGCTACAAGCAAATGAAATAACACACACCTAGTAACAAACAAAGGCTTCCTTTGTTAGGCCTCGACATTACAGTCACAATGTGAAGGTGGTAGCAGCTTTCACCAATCAGGGAAAAAAAGTAGAACACTGATAGTGAACAATGGTGGCAGCACTAAAAATTGCACAAATTGCTTCGCGTATCATCAAAGACACACACATACACAGACTGTTCAGCCTTCATTACAGTGTGAAAAGTGCACAACACAACTTCAACATGACTTAGCAACTTCTACATTCGTGGATGACTTTTACGATGGAGAAATAGTGCTCATTAGGCCTAGCACACTCAGCAATATTACCAAAACACATGTGTTATTACACTAAGAGAGAATCCCACCCAAGTTCTTGTAGCATCACCCTGCGGTAATGTATATATAATGTATATAGTATGTATACAGTATGTATAAAAAGACTGATAGAAACCCCAGGCTTAAATATCGTGTCATCACCCCGTGTATGCAAGTACAGTGCAGTTGCCAAGACATTTGTATGTGCCTTGCGCATATCCGTGCAGCAGGGTTACCACGTGCTGACTGCACCAAAATTTAAAACACGAGTGCGCTACAGTATACAATTAAAACATGAAATGATAAACGCTAAACAAGCCTTGGGCGCACAAGAAATCTTCAGGATTGCTAGAACTGACTCCAAAGTCTAAAATGTCCTACATAGTGTAGTGGCTGCCAAAAGACTGAATCACGTGTTCTGAATGGTGCAATTCACATCGTTTTGCCATGACATTGGGGCAGTGTGTGCCCCGCACAGACCACAACCTTTTGAGGTGCACACAAACACTTACTTTGAAAGGGAAACAACAAGAACATCAACACTAGAGAAAAGAAAGAAAATTCAGGTACCAGCCAACAACTGAAAAATGAGAGTAGTGTGTCAAGTAGCATTTGTCAGTACGTGAGCCTTTTGTGTCGTTAAAGTCATATGTTGACTGAGCTACGCTTTCGTTGGGATAGAGACATGAGCAGCATACATTCCTGGAAGAGTAGAATTCGTTGGCACAATGTGTTGCTACACTAGACAGATGATACAGTAAAACCACCTTATACACAGAACCACCAGTGAACTGGTGAGAATAAAGTATGTGAGTACAAATTGTATTGCAAACTTAAAAATGCAGAACTGTGCCAAATACCAATTTCAGCCAAGGCTGCCAACAAGAGGTGTTCTTATGTTCCTTACATTGCACTGTCATCTCAATCTGTAAACTTATCCAGCAACGGGACCTAGGGTCACATTATCAGAGAACTGCCAAACTCCGGAATTTCATTCAGCGGTTACGGAAAAGACAAGGCTGGAAATAGCATCATGAAGCCTGTTGCTGTCTACTTTAAGGGTGTTTGTAGTGCGTGGCAAAGGTAAGATTGTTTTATGTGCCATAGAAGGCACCAGAAATTGACCAGAGCATTATACGTCACTGACTAAGTAATTCAAGTATAATTTCTTTTTGCACTGTAACACTTGCTGTAGCAATGCGATTTTTTTCATTTAACAATATAGATACCATTGTGATCTCTGAATGTGAAAAGACTGTGGTGGCTCAGTCATTTTGCTGACAGCAGAGATATAGCCTTCTGCTCACTGTAAATGTTCGAATCACTCGCAATTTCTGCTTTAGGCACTCTTGTAATCAAACAAGATGAGAAAAAGTTGTTTACAAGCAGCTTGGAGGACAGGACAATAAAGATATAATGCATTGCACATGTATATATCGACAGAAAAGGGGTAAAGAATTGTCATATAGCATCCATCCCCCCCCCCCCCCATAAAAGGACCACATTTAAAATACCAACAATAAAAACATCATGGAGCACTAAGCCTGTCAAGAAACATTTAGCTAAAAGGCAATGTTCTCTAAATGAGCCTAACCTTTGGGTAGCAAGCACATGCACATTTCACTAGAATTGCCAATTATTTTGCAGAGAAGTTGCGCTCGAAGCAAAACATAGTTTTCGACAATGTGCGCATCTGTTCCCCAACAGATGGGCGAGGCTGCTATAAGATTCTTTGCAAGTGCAAATATCTGCCAGTAGTTACAGTTTTGTTAGGCTAAAGCCACAGGCTTGCAAAATATACATCACGATGAACAATTCTTGCAGTCTGTAAACTCTACTCATGGCATGTTGGAAGCATCGGCGAGCCAGTCGCAAAAGAAGTATCGGACTGCCCTACTGGGACTTGTTAAGACCGCTACATCAACTAATAGACGGCCCAGTTGAAGCATCAAATGGGGACAGAAACTCCCAGTAACAACACAGCCTTCTCATATTTGACTGCAAGTTGGTTGCGAGGCACGACTCCCACATAGCATCAGGAAGGAAGGGCTATTATACACTTACCTATTAACTAGTTGACAGTACAAAACATAACAATCATTGTCGCAAAAAAGAAGAAAAAAAAAGGAGAAAATACAGGCTAAAAACTTAACATTAGCCGAAAGAAAATGCATCAAAGTACCCACCCACTTTCTGCAGTTGAGTAACTGCTGCTGCTGCCACTACTCCTGAACCCAACAGGCAAAACTGTCGTAGTCGTAGTCTTGTCATGTTTGCACGTTCCAGTGCCCCTATAGTATGTCCTTCTAAAATGTAGTGCACAGCGCACGAACAGCCGGTGTTATTACATAGTGCATGCGGAAAGTTCGAACAGAACAGTCACAACAACACTGCTCCAAACTGAGATGTAAACTGAAAAGAACAAACTGGAAGTAGCCTACTGGCCAGTGCACGTGTCGCCTTTATGTATTCAACAGGTTGCAACTTCGACAGGTGGCAACTTCAAGCAACCAGATGTAAACAACACTCTGCCTTGTTTCGTCATGTCTTGAGTTTGTCTGGCATGATTGCACAAAATAAGACAAAAATGTGGCATAAAGGTACAGAGGACGCAATAATCCAGACTCTTTGTAGTGTTACAAAACAGTCTTCAGTGCCAGTAAAAATCAGAGGAGATTGGCTTGTGAGCAATTGCTTGGTATACATTCGAACGTGTCACACATAAAAATCACCTAAGCATTTTAAGTGCCACAAACAATCCACAACTTTCGCGATGCAAGCATTTTCGCAAACATCTTCGCATTTTATCCCTTCGCAATTTGCACCTCTCATGAAAGCAGCAACTGTTCTAAAATGGAAGGTTCCAACAAAAGAAGGCAAGTTGAGTAGACAAGCTTTAGGCTCAGTCCAAGCAGAAGTCCTTCAGCACCACGACGTGTGGGCTGGGTGACAACCTAAGAAATCAGTATCAAGTTTTGCCTGACACAAAAGAGCATTCGAGTTCTATCTCAAGTTCCTAGATGCTCAAAACTATAATTTACAAGAGATACTCTGAATTTTGAAAAATAAAATAATATTTAATTGGAGAGTGCGACATCCCAAAGCAACACAACGGCTACGAGAGATGCCACGGCTGGGATCTTCGAATGATTTGAAGCCATTTGATGTTTGCTTATGTGCAAGAGTGCTTTTGCATTCTGCACCTGCCGGAACCTGCTCGCAGCAGCACGGAGTCAAACCTATGACCTCATGCTAGGCAGAAAAGTACCGCAGTCACAGAGACCACACTACAGGTCGACAACGAAAGAAATCACTTCTGGCCACAACCGATGCCGAAGCAAGTCTCTGAAAGCAAACAATATTTTTGTGTTTTTTCATGCAAGAAGCACGGTAATTATAAGCCACATCGTAGTGATGGATATCACTTTAACTTTGACCACCAGGGGTTCTTCGACGTGCAACAAAATCGAAGCATGCAGGTGCTTTTGCCTTTCGTCCTCTCGGAAACCTGGCCACAATAGCCGGGGACTGATCTCGCACATTTATGCTTAACAGCACAGCACCTCGCCTGTTGGAGCCTTCAATGCAGGCCCCTAAAGCAAGTCAATATACCTAGATGGTATGTCTGTTCGAATTCCCATTCTATAGTTTGAACACTGGCTTATTATTACACTGCATTCTCAGCTTGTCATCGACTACAATGTTCAGTAGTAGCGGCAGCGACGCTATCTGTGTCCAGGTGGTGGGACTGTAGGAACCCCTTCGGCCACAGAGCTTCTTAACCGAAGAGCTTCTCGAAGCAGGCGTGGCAATACGGCTTGTCATTTTGCTCCTTGAAGGTGCCCTTGTTCAGCTGGCCAAGGCAGAAGGCACAAACGAAGTGCTCAGGGTGGTACTTGCGGAACATGGCCGTGATGCAGCGGCCCGTGATGGGCTTGTGGCAGCCCGCGCACAGCGAGCCCCGCTTGGCGTGGTAGTGCGTCTCACAGAAGGGCTGCCCCTCGTGGTCGTAGAAGCTGCCGCCGTTGAACGGTTGCCTGCAGTCCTGCACGTGACCAGACATAGTGACGACGGCACTTCAGTATATTCGCAGGCAAAGAGGCAAATGGACGAGTTTCACGGTACTGTCACGCAGCCCGCTATGTTCAATTCGTCCTAAGGAAGTACACACCCACGTGACAGCTGCTGCTACTAACAGCGGTATGTTCTGCGACCAATTACACCCCTACAACTATCATGAATTATAAGCCATTTCCACATTTGATGTACGTGTAATGACTGACTGCATCTTCTTTGAAATTAGTGTTTTATTATGGTTGTTAATTTCAATATTACGTTGTATCCTATACGTATATAATACTTTGTAGAATACTTTTCTATACTCCCTTACACCATGCTCTAACCAGAATCTGTAAGACACAATATTGATGAGAACAAGACAATAATGCTAAGGAAGGTGCAGGGGTTGTCATTTGTGATATGCAGCCGGAAGGGATCAAACTTACAAATATCGGAATCCGAAGGTTAGAGGTTTGGTCCCTGCTAGCGGCGAGTGTTCTTTTTGCCCAGTTTACTTTATTCCCATTAATATCACAGCTACTACAAATAACTCCTACGCCTTTTTGGCATAATTGTCTTGTAAGGTCTAATTGATATTGTGTCGGATACAGAAAAAAACAAGTGCTTAAGAATTTCCCTTTTATTCAGAGGGAGCAAGGTATGATAAACACATAAATAAATAATCAATATATAAATATCAGGTGCCACATAGGTATCATGGATGTTCTACACCGAGTGGCTAAAGCTTGATTACAAGCATGGCCTGCTCAAAAATCCTTACTGACTGTTGCACACACGAAAGGAACAAATTATTCGTTCCTCTAATCGCAGCAGTCACATTCTGCTTGTGTGAAACAACTTTTCTCAGCATGGCAATGACTGCCAGCAGTATTGCTCATTGCAGCAAGTTGTAGCGGGCTGTCAGCCCTGGCCCCTATGTCTACGAGTACTGGCACAAAAATGTCCCACTTCCCCCTTTTTTAAAATTTTTAATTATATAAAAGGCTAAGCCTCTAAGAGTCTAGGAAATGTTCCGGTAAGCGTGAGTGTGGTCAGAAAAATTAATGACAACATGTTTAAAATGCAGTATTGGTTCCTACTGTACCCTTACGTCGTGACACGGTACGATTTTTTTCATCACATGCCTGTACACGATATCGTGACGTTTTCACAGGCGCCCCTTTCCGCAGCTCTGTTGGTGATGCACGAGTGGTCTTTTCAGATGTTTCGGTACCTGAAGTCACTGCAGCCATACTGGTGCGAGAAGCCGCAAAAATTGACACTGAAGCCTGATGTCACACGTGTGTCAATGTCAGTGGGTGCACACTGCGGAAATTTACTGTTATGTCAAAATAACTTATCAGTAAAGGCGACAATTTCAGGTATTAAAGAAGCGTTTTTAGGCACCGAAGATAGGCAAACAACATTTTAGGTGTCAGAAATAGGGGGGCAAAGCACATTTTGAGGCTCCAACGTCTTAAGCGTAGACCTAATAAATTTTTACATCAGTACAAATAATTTCAAAACGAACGACTTGCGCGAGCTGCATCTGTGATGGGAAAGCAGGAAACCTTACTGTTTATCGCAAGGGCACCAAAAGCTGAACATCGCCGTGCAATTGTCTATTGTCCAACACTGTTTGTGAAACACAGTCTCTCCTTTTATTCACTAGCATGCAAATCAAGCGTCCACAGTTGAATCAACACACTCCTGGGTCTCTTTCTTTTTGGCATGGCTGAAAAGGGAAGCACAGGAGCAGTTAGCCACACCGCTGAAAGACCCGAGGGGAGGTGTTGAATGGTGTTGGAGGGCTCCTTCAGGAAGTAAATTACAAACAAAACAAAAGCCGCGTGCCCATCACATTTTTCTTTATTTCGATTTTCGCTCTTCTTTACCCCGACGGCTCTTCACGGTTTCGCAATCGCCAACCATTCGCGCCAGGTCAGCGCGGTGGCGTATGCCGGCCGGTGCGTCCCTCTTCATTGCTGTTTGCGGTTGTTTTAAGAAAGTTGAGAGAGAGAGAAAAAAGTGAAAAGCTAAAGATGTGAGCCTGGCTATTCACCTGACATGCTACTACGGGTGCTGGTTATGACATATACACTGATATTCACCCGACACATACAGCTACACACAGAAACGACACTGTTTGCAAAGATTCTTTCAGGCTCGTAATCCTCGACAAGTTCAACAACTCTTTCGTGGTGTGTAACGCACAGACGCTGCTTTGCCATGGACCTCGAATATGTTTCAGTTCTAAGCGCACGGAAGGTGTGAAGCTGCCTTCAAAGACCATCCCTCTGATGAGCATTACTCGCCTGCATTCACAGAGAACGTCCTTCAGGTCCCCTGAAATGTTGCATTGAACGAACAATGGTGAGCTCAACAGTTTAATCTTGCTTTTAAAGTAGTTTGTATAGGTGATGTTTAATCTGATGTGGTGCAAGCATGTTTCCTCTGGTCTGTTAAGGGCTTGAGCATGTCGAAGCCGTGCCGTGGATCAATTTAATAACGAGGCCCGTGCTCGTGACTAGCATGTCCAGAGGAACCTGGTTCCAGAAGTTTGTGAACCGGAGGTCCATGCTGAATCCCATAGAGTTCCAAACAGTCTAGTGTTTTCCAGTAACACTAATATTGGTCTCAAAGTGAACCCAAAGGCAATATTTCAGGTTAAACGGTCTTTATATAGGCACTGTTTTCAGAATAGGCATTCATAGGCTTTAAAGCCACTCTGTGCACAAACGCAAAAGTATGCATATATAGGTACTATAAAAACATACTGTACGAGTCTTTCTAAACACCTAATTCCCACTTGTATATTGAAGTGGGGTGATATAGAACGCAAGAAACAAAGTAGGCACTTGCCTAAAATCCGGTCTCATCTTATCAGCATTTCTCTAGCTTTACACACGCTCAGTTCTATCTCAGCAAACAGGAGATTTCCGTGGTGGAATAAAGCCAGGCTCTCAAAAGTGGTGCCAATAACTCTTTAAAGCATGGTACTCAACTTGAAGTTGAAAATGTGCGCTGGCAGCTCGAACAAACTTAGGTTTCCAAATGGTGTGCTGACTGCACCAGGTCTGCAAAATTGCTGACTGTTCTTGCTGTTTATACTCGATTAAAACTTAAGAAAAATATCAGCTCCACTCAGAGCCATCGCTGTCTCTCCCACAAAAAAAATTTGCATACATAGTCTACTCAATTACACTTTTCAATTTTCATGCAAGGTGAAAAAAAAAATACAAGGGAGCGCGCTTACCGTCCACAAGCGAACCTCCTCTGAAGCTGCTAGCTCCTTGTGTTTGTGTCCAACTTACCGTGATGTTTCTGTTTTATTCTTGTTTAGCAGGCTCACGGCAAAACAACAAGAAGTGACGAGCGGGTGCACCCAGCCTCCGTAAGCCACTACCCCCCGTCCCCATCATTCTCGATGCGCAGGTCACAATTCCCAGCATGCTCCAATTTCATTTTTCATGGCATGGCTTCAAAATTGTCACATAGTGCTCCTAACTAGCCTTATTTTGTGATTAGAACAAGTGTTAATGATTTATAGCACTTCATACTCTACTATGGAAGAGCAAACGCCATCCCGAACTGTGAAAGCATTTGCTGTTCTGGAAGAGTAAATAGATTTCCCTTCACATTTTCATGACAGGAAGCGATTTTTGAGTGTAGAGTGCTTTAGATAGCTGACTTTTCCAATACAGACACACACTTGTGACGCTGGTTTTAGGTAATAAACTTTAACATCCTAGTAAGTTTCGCCAGGGATTCTGACATTGCTGTTTAGCCAAACCTAATGTTCTATGAAGCAATGGTGAACATTCAACTCTTAAGGTGTGTGGCAGTTACATTAGCTGAGAAAAGGCACTTAGGGCTTAAGCGGAAAGTAGCTGGCACAACTGTCTTTCGCATGTGAAGGGTTGGCAAGCGCCACAGTTCTATCTGCTGAGCTTGCATTTTTTAGTTCATCACAACTGAGTGAGGACACTTGCTGAACAACTCCACTGACGAGTAAAGATCGATACAAGCGGTACTTACGCGGCAGACAAAGCATTCGGGATGCCACTGGCCGTTCAGGGCCGAGATGTAGTTCTCCGTGATCGGCCTGTTGCAGCCACCGCACTTGGGTGCGAACAGCTCGAAGTAGTCGTCGCGGCAGTAAGGCTTGCCGTCCTTCTCGTGGAATCCTCCCTCTCCAAACTGCGTCCCGCAGTGGGCGCAGAAGAAGTGCTCTGGATGCCATGTCTTGTCCAGGGCGGTCACACATTTCTGTGCAAAGGAGAGGAAAAAAAGAAAAAGCCGCATACGATGTTGGGTGAATGTCTCGTTTTGTCAAACTTCACTATAAGTGGAAGCGTTGAGACTTGCACCGGTCTGGTCGGTTAAAAATGCTCTTTTGTACGCCTGTATGCACAAGGGTGCCATAACCTGTTACAGCAACTACACAGTGGCTGGGGTATGTCTGTTGCAGGCAGTTAAAATAGGTTCAGATGCTCCTGCTCAAGTTTCTGGTAAAGATTGTGAATATGAGACATTACAACATAAAAGGTGCAGAACAGAAATTGTATGAACATGGTTGCATTAAGCCTATTTTATAAAGTAAATGTTCCTGAAAACTGCTAGACTGAGTACTTGGCTCTTTCAGAATGCAGCGTCTTTCTTCCTGACTGACAAACAACTGAGTATTTACGCAAAGCAACGGTGTCAATGTGTAAGACATTATGGTAAGCTAGCTGGGAAAAACAGTGTCCCTCATTGTCTTTCGTTTTTCCAGCTTTCATGGCTTGACGAAAGTCGTTATTTCCCACTTTTTTATTATGTCAGCTATCAGGTGACACACACTGGTTCACAAAACTCTGCAGGCCAAAAAATAATATTTGAAAGACTATGCAGTCAGATGGTTTTTCACTACAGCATTATCATTCAGCAAGGCATGCACAACACCAAACTGCACTCACATCAAGTATGGGACCGTTGCAGTAGGCGCATCGTGGAGAGAAGATGTTGTGGTAATCTGTCTCGCAGTAGGGCTCATTGTCCCGCTCAAAGAAGTTCTTGGTGCCCAGCTCCTGGTTGCAGTGAGCACACACAAAGTGCTCGGGGTGCCATGTGCGACCAAGGGCGGTGACCACCTGTACGGGATAAACGAATTTCAATCCCGCAGCGCGCGCATTCACCGACAATTGCAAATGGAAAGGCATGCCACAATTCCAACAATGCAAAAGTAGTGTGCACGAGTGAAATGTTTAATATCCTGCTGAAGAAAGGGTTTATAATATAAGGTAGACAAAGGGAATTGGGTCTTGAAAGCCTTTTCTTGCTACACGATATCTTTCGAAATTCAGTAATTGGGCTTAAAGCAGTACTGAACTGGCTTTAAGACATCATAAAAGGGACGCTTTTCATTTCCTTGGTATGCAGTGTTAACGCCCTATACACACTGGAGCCAAAGAGCTTGTATAAAATATTTTACTTAGACTTTAATGTCTTTGTTGCTCAGCATTCGCAAGATAGCCTCACAGCAACGGTCATTACCCTGATGAGACAACACAGTTCCACTGAGTTTGCAAACCCCTGCAAACTGTTCTGTATGCAGCTTAAATTGCAAAAATTACTGTCGGGATCATTGAACGATAACTCACACATCACCGTCTATGTGTGCCATATGCAGACGATGGATCTGTCACTAATATGTCACAAGTTGCAGTCTTCCCATGACGTCACAGTGAGATTACACATCAGAGAGAAGCCGCTCCCCCAAATATCAAAACCCAAACTGAGTTGTTTTTTTTTTTAAAGTAGCAAAATCCAAAATACATTCTCTGCATTCCTAGGCACCACAATACTTTCCTTACGGTTTCTTACATCACTGTTTTTAGCTAAAGCAACAATCTGAAAATATTTGTCACTACTCTAACACTTCCAAACTGCCCAAAAGGGATTCCATAGTGGATGCTTCCAAATAAATTTTTACCACTGGATCACCTTTAATGTGCAACTGAAGCACGATATTCACCCATTTTTTTTCATTAACACTCAGAAAGCACGACTCTGCAAGTAAATTGAGTATTCAACCAGTTGCCACAATTGGTGCCGCCTTCACTCGTATTTTCCAATATTCTCTGGTTGGAAAACGTGGATAATTGGTAATGTTGCCAGGTTAAAAATGTTCCTTTTTTTCTCTTCAACTAATAAGCTTTCCATTCTAAAAAATTTCTTAAATTTCCTTATGGCTTCATGCTAACAAGTGGTTGTCAAATATAATGCTCTCATAACCTTTTTCTGCCCTCGTGGAATACTGCAGAACTCATCTGCAGTATTTGTGTTTAACACGCTATCGCGTTGCTAATGCGTGCACTTGAGTGACATTTCTTGCTACTACATGACCTTTCATCAACATGTGGATACATTTGCAAGCCGGCATATCAACACTACGCTAGACTGCTTGGTGAAGAATAACAGCTCGTGAGCTCTGAAACTGTGCGTGTACTTCCTTCATTGCGGCTAACAACGAAAAGACCGATATATAAAGTAGAAGTGGACACGGCACAGAGTTGTGCCGTGGCCATTTCTACTCCATGTCTGGATTTTTGTGCTGCTAGAAACAATGAATCTACACCCATTCGCCCAATTTTCCACCTCGTACGTACCTGGCCCACGATGGGCTTGGAGCATGCGGAGCAGTGTCCCTTGGCCGTCGTGGTGACTCCTTGCTTGGTAAGGTCCGACTGAAGGGTGCCTAACATGGAATCCAGCTTGTTGCCGGGCGGCTGGTTGGGCCGGTTCAGCCGGTGGGGCTTGGCGTATGCCGGGTCGCTCACGGGAGTCGGAGAGCCGTGCAGCTGCTGACGCTGCTGGGACTGGATGGGTGACTGAGCCTGTGGCCCGTTCAGCTGTCATTCGGCAGAAAAAAAACAAAACAAAATAAAACACACTAAGCAAATGCAAAGTGGTTGCAGTTTAACAACTGGCTGTGTCAGGTGGCTCTTAATAGAAATGTATATTTACAGCTATGTCAAACTACTAAAGAATGAAGAGCCAGCATAACAATGGACAGTCATGCTCAATGGGAGTTATATGCTGCTCGCGGTCAAAGCGGCACTAAAACTGCATGGTGGCATCAACAAAGAAAACAATAAGTGACATAAACACCCATGTGACTACTGGTATTTGCGAAACTGATTTTGCACTTGCTGGTGTTACAGCATATGCTTGAGGACCCTTTAACCATTAGCTCCGTGCTTCAACTAATATTAAACGCCCCAGTCCATTTCTGTGCTTGGCCATGCCGTATGGAAAATATCATGTAGGCATAATAATTAGCGGGGCTCTGCAACACTTTTCCACATAATCCTTAAATGAACTTGCTATAGGAAGCTATTGCATCAAGAATCAGTTCCTGCAAACATTTGTGTAATCCTGTCAGCCACAAAGTATGTTACGGAAATTTGTTGAACGATTTAAGCATTTTTTTGCTTTCCTTTTGTTTCGACCACACAAGGGGGAGGCCGAAGAAGCAAGAAACTACGTTAGTGCGTATCACAAATATGGTGGGTGCCTCATCATATTTTTAAAGACGATAGTCTTTCTTGGGGGCCTTAGACGCAAACATTTTAGTCTGTCTGTCTGTACATTTGTCTGTTTGTCAACTCTTAACGGCATCCGGTACTTGAAACGGCCAACCCCATCCGCAGTGCCCACCTATGTTGCTCAGGGTTGAGCATTCATGCTTGTGCAATTGTCAATTAAAAAAGCAATTATTGCACATGTTTGGGGCACCATGACAACACGTATATATTCTGTATGTGAGCCTTTTACTAGGAAAGGCATACATAAGTAATCTTAAGGACCGTAGCGCTTATCACAGTGCGCTGACCATGCGATGCTTGCACGGAAACACGAGTGTTTCCAACACTTTGCTAAAACGAGATAGTGGTGGCACCTACCTGTCGCCTTGCGTTCTACATTTTAGCACCTCTGAGATGGGCGTGCACACCCATCTCGGAGCCACGCGCTTTGTTTTCTAAAGAAACTGCCAGATGGCGCTTATGTCTCACGTGTGACGTGACTTGATGCGCTTATTCACCTCCCCTGCACGCTCGACGCACTTGACGCAGCGCCTCCAGAATACCATTCACCGATTTTCTTGCGCAGAACATCAAATAAATGTCTTGTCACTCTCCCCACACGCAAGACTAACGTCTTTCGACGACATTTGCAGATTATATGCAGATACGGGGCCATTTTTTTTTTTCTATGAATGCATCGCCTCACTTGCATTGTGATCACGAGTGCGCCATTGTCCCAAGACTGCCTTCCATTCTAGCTCACTACAGAGCCGGCTGCCGACACGTAGCGGCACCATGTGGCAGCCACAAGAACTATTTTGCACAAAAATGCTCAAATCGGCCAACAGCCGCATATTTTTTCTGCTGATATAGTCATGCCCGTAGATGATATAATTTGCCGAGAGAATAGCGAGTGATTTCTAGCTATCTTTGAAACATAATTGTTATTTTCCGACTGCATGAAGTGCTATATTTGCCTCGAATGCTAAGAGCCTCAACTACTGAACAGTAGCGTTCTCAGACTACAGTAAAAAAAAACTCTGTAGGACTGTCCTAAGATCTGAGATTTGCAAGGTCAACACCAAACAAAAAATAAAATAAAAATAAATATCAACACATCTATATAAATTTTTTTCTAGCTTTGCGCTAAAAAGAAATAAGTAATAGTTCTTTATTTTTCTAACATTAGTACCGATTGGAACTTTTGATGAACTGATTTTCTATTTTTTGCTACATACTTATCGATAATCCACATTAAGGCCATGCAGTAAAGTTATCCTAAGCTTTTTTTTTTTACTTCAATCAATAAATACTTGAGAACAAAAATCTTGCCAACTAACTGTGACTTCTACATCACTACTTTTCCCCTTATGCTGCTCGCCACAAACTCCAACAGAATGCAATGAAATCAACCAGGATTTGCGCATAGAACAAAATCAATCCCCAATGCAGCCTGCGCAGTGAAAATAATTCGACTCAGTGAATCGAAATCGTGCAGATCTGGCGCTCATCGCATACACAATTGCATTACAAGTCTACACTTTTAGAATTTCGAGAATTAAGCTGCACTTTGGAAACACTGTCTTGAAAGCGCTGGAGTACCTCAAATTTTTCATCATGTACTCAACGCTATAAAAAAATCTGGTCTTTCAATTTCACTAGACTGTGGCTGCTGTGCAGAGTGCTGAACATACAAGCTTTCACTCAATGGCAGTGTTTGACAGTTGCAGCGAAGAACAGAACACCAGAAAGACAAAGCTTTAATTACAGCTAAGCTGCCAGGTTAGCTGTTTGGATCACCAGATTTTAAACACAATTCTGAATGTTTAATTGTTTCATGCAATATATGTAATTATTTGCGAAAACTGCACGTGCACTATTTTATTCTGGCTATCCGGCTCTCACAAAATCCTACTGATGAAAGGGCAGTAACATTTTACGACAGAGCTAAACATAGCAGGACTGTTGACGTAAAGTGGCTTACAAACAAAATACATTCCGAATATAGATAGGTAAGTCAACAGCACTCATCATGAAACAGACGCACAATACAATCTTGACAGATGCAGAAATGAATACCAATTCCACTTTACAGCATTGAAGGAAACCTTTACAGTGCCCTCTATGCTCAAATCAGCTCATTATCAAAGAACGCTTTATTTGCAGGGTACAACGCCCTGAAAGAGCACAGTGTGTCCAGAGAGATGGCATAGCGAAGGGGCCTGGACTAATTATGACTACATGAAAATTTTTAACACAAGTCCAAAACTCTCTTGCGTTCCTTAACTACCAGAATATGAGACTAAAAATAGAACCCAAGACTTTGCTTTGCAGAACACCTTACTCCCTTAAGCATTGTGAAATGTATTCTGAAGCGCAGTCACGTGTCATCCTGACTCTAGCAAGGCAGTTAAAGCTCCACTGTGCAAAGAAGATGGAAACTAAATGATGCACGCAAGAAGATATTCTAAAGAAAAAAAAATTAATGTAGGCTGCACTGATATGTTTGTCTCATTGGGAAATTGAATGTAATAAGAGCAAATGAGAGGCTGCATTCCTGATAGGTCAGTACTCTTGCATGTCACAACATTCAGTGCAATGCCTCACTCAAGCTTGTCTCTGCACATGCAAACAATGAAACGTGGACACAAGAGTGACTCAATTGCTGTCATATCATTAAAATCATGGTCAAAATATTCGAGGAGCATTGAATTTTCGATTCCACGTGTAATACATTTATGAAGTGGGACCCAAGCTTCTGTGTGAATAGTAGGGTAACCTGTACAGACAGAATGTAAAACCAAAAGCAACATTCGTTATGAGGTACTTAGAACGTCAATGTACTTGACTTCTTATCTCATAGCACCATGTGCTACGCTGTTAGTTCCCGTGCTACCTACAGCTAAGAAAAAGGCTAGAACTGCTGCTTGGGCAAGTTGGTTCATGATTAAGATGATAGATTTTTCACAAAGAAATACGGAGCGCTAATAAATCTAAAAAAAAAAATGCCTCTCCAGTTTTCAGAAGTTATGCTGCACATACTATCTTAGCATTTTTACTACAATCCAAGAGTAACATAAAGTTGTTCAAAAGCTAATTTGCACAGAGCAGCAGCATACAAACATGTCTGAACTGTAATCTTCTGACTGTTACCGCACCAGCAAAGCATCAAGAAAGCAGAAACTTCAGAAACCAACTTATCCATCGGACCAAGCATGAAAGCCTTTGCACACTTGCCTGTACTCTGTGAACCTTTCTTAAAAATGCTGCACATAGGTAATGCCTTCCTGAAACTCACTCCAGTTTTGTGAGCACCAACTACATTACAAGGCACATCCAGTGAGAAATACACAACACACCCAAGAAGAGAGCTGACGATTCCTTGTTTTCTTCCACCGATCGAGGAGTCGCGACGAGTGAACAAGCACTGCACTCTAGGCACAAACACACACACAGATGCCGACAACACAGACCGTTCCTTCCAAAGCCCGACGCAAGAGTGGACAGTTGGCTCTTATGATGCCAGCAGATGCGAGAGGTGGGAGTGCCTCTCCCTCCCACATACTAGGCCGAGCTGCCAAAACGACCGAGAAGTAATAAAAGTGGTATGGCACACTACGATGATGATGCGTGCAGCAGAGGGGGAGGGAAGTGTAGTGTGTGCTCAGGCACTCCATCGGAGAGGGGGAGACTGGAGAAGAACTCAAAAAGGTGTGGGAAGGGGAGGTCAGAAACAGGTGATGTCAGAAGATGACATAAACCCAATGAGTAAAGTATGCTGCCCACCACCTTGGGAGTGGCTGTGGAAAGAAAATAAGCAACTTTTTTTTTTTCTTTTTCTCCCAGGCCGGGGGGGCAAGGACAGACCACCACCGTCAATGTGGGGCACTCCCCTTCAGTTCGCGTGTGCGCTCCTTTCACCCCCGAAGGCCGGCTAATAAACAAAATTATAAATAAGGGAGTAAAAAAAGAATAAGAAACGGGGAGGGGGCATGACAGGCAAAGAACAAGACCAACGATGGGCAACCTGCCAAGAGTAGCAACAACACGTTGCCGCCGCCGCCTCCACGACGTGACCGACCGAACAGCCAGCCGGCATCGGAGTGAGAAAAAAAGCCGCACTTGTTTTGGGTCCGAGCGGCATGAAGGTAACCTGACTCGCTGCCTCAAGAGTGGAAAGACGCGACAGCCTCTTTTTATGTGAATCTGGGTTATAATAAAAAGTGGTGTCTCCGGCCACAACACTGCTGTATTGAGTTGCTGTTATAGAGGTTAGCCTTTGCAAAAAGATGAGTGCTGTTGCTCGACATGAAGAAGCTGCAGCATTTCACGAATTCACTTACCTCATAGAACACGTCACGTTTGCAGCGAGATTATGTCCTGTTTGAAGCTCATGCTTCACACTTGACAAGCCATAGTGGAAAACGAAATCGGCAGCAAGAAAACACTGTCCTGTTCTGCTTTGCCAACTTTGATGATAAAAGCCCACCATTACCATGTCTAATGTGCAGCAGAACAGTGCACCATTTATTTATTTATTTTTATTCTCTACCTGAGGAACTTTCCTAAAATCATTGGCTACAGATACTACAGTGAAACCCCTTTATAAGACACACTGGTGCGAGAGACAAATGGGTATAAGTAATCCTAGAAGTAGTTTTACAGTGCAAATGCAAAGACAAACCACACAGAAAGAGACGACACACACCAGTATAAGCAACATTAATGTTCCTACATTAAAGTGGGGGTTGATTAGAAAACCCATACGTGGTGCCCTGGTTGCAAGAGACACCTCCTACAAAAAATAAGAATTGCTGTCCGCCCAGTGCATCTCTCTTATAAAGGGGTTCAGCTGTGGCAGTGAATTCTTGCAGTCCATCCATACAAACTCCAGTAATTAATGTAGTTATCATATTTAACAGTTTCTCTGATCAGCAACAGTTTTGCAAGAGCAGAACGAAAGTAAGTGCTAGAAGCTCCCATGCCTATTTAGGAGAAATATCTTGACATTAGTTTTCAAACATCAAAACTTGAATTCATGCGATAGTCACGTGCACACCTCTTGTCTGGTTTGCAGTTTCAGAGACAAGCTTCATGAGAACATAATAAGTGCCAGTTAGCCCCAACATACTTCTCAGCACACTAGCTTAATCTGAATTAAAATGGCAGATAAAAGAAATTCCAGCAATTATCCGAGACCAGACTGCTATTCATCATGGAAGCAATCGCTTGCAGAGGTAGCAAACTTGGCACGTGCAAGCGAACTTCAGCTCAATACGCATATAGAAGATGAAATGAAAATGACTCACATTGAAGTCTGAAAGTGATGCCATCAAGTCATCAAGTTCTTTGGTTGCGGAGGAAGCAGTTGGAGTTGGAGCGCCATAGCTGCGTGGTGGCTTGGGGCTCTGTGGTGTCTTTGGACTGCAAGTGGCATGATGACAGAGCTACATGTGCTACTGGCTCGTTTATATTGTTGGCTCCTGAAGGGAGCATCAAAGCTTGACCACTAAAACGTAAATATGTTTAGCACCCATGTAAATGTTAAAGAAGCAGGAAAGAAGCGCACGACATTATCCTGCAAGGAACACACATGTCTGATATACTCCAGCAACTGATACTCCCTTCAAACAGCAGCAATTGCTTGACTGCCCACAACGCTGACATAAGCACTCAAAAAAAAATCTGAATGTTGAGTTGATACCTGTAGGTTGACTTGTTGCTCCCTGGCAAGGAATTCAAAAAATACCTGCTTCATTTGAATAAAAAATGAAGAGGAAACTTTTATTTTATACTTCACAGTCATAAAATGAACTGCAATGTCATTGATTTCAAGGTGTCATAGCTTATTTACTTTTGTTTGCATGTCCTCAAAAAGCGTACACAATTATCAGGCTGAAGTTTCTGGAACGATAGAGAGTTCACCAATGTTGGCCTGATACTGCCAAAATCAACACTGCCACAAGAAGCTGTCGCAAACAACTCAAATGGCATCAGCATCTTCTTTTATTTATAGGTCTTTGCAGGCATAACCAGTCCTCATACAATGCATGTTCTGCAGTTCCAGAAGCAAAACCTACATTGTAATGGTCTCTTTAGCATGCGCTTAGTGCATATAAAGTGGGAATATCTTTAAAGGACACTTTATTAGGTGCACCACCAAATTAGCAGATGCCCTGGAGGTTACAAGGTGCTGTTTGTTTTGAAAATGTACCAGCAGGAGGATTTTTCAACTTTGAATAAACAGGGTAAACTGGAGATATTTGTAAGAGGCCTTTGTCCTGTAGTGAACATATAGATAGGCTGATTATTACTAATCTTATTTATTGGAAGAGTTAGGAGAGACTTAAAGGTCCTGTTACAATGGCAACATGGCAATGTGGAGCACAACACTGTAAAGTTCACAGGAAACAGCTATGCTGAGTGATGGTGTAAAAATGTTTTCTTTTTTTTTTCTATGTTTGAGCCTATGTTGGTTTCTTATACTATGGCTATCTGAACACTGTATGTGGCCATTTGTGAATCTTACACACACAAAAATATACTGGACAGTGAGATGAGTGTCAATAATATGCCTTATTAATAATAACAAATGATTACTAGATTAACGATTCTGTGCCCACCCTAATTCCATATGGGGTTAAATCTTGGGTTAAACCTTTGGTACTGAACTTATCTGAAACCTTCGCACGACAACCATTTGCCACATCGCCTCCCAATCAAACGCAGCTCCTCAGCAGGAATGTCACGAGAAATGATCCGATTCGCCAGTGCCGCTTGTAACTGCCGAAAATAACAACCTCACTGGCAGCACGCCAAGACAATGCATCTATTTGGCACTATAAAAGTGAGACATCTAGAGTCAGTCGTGTCACTTTTTGACAGGTGACGGCTGGAAGAAAGCTCTACTGCCCTGGATTGCAGTGTTTGTAAGTGTGGCTGTCAGTTTGAACGCCTCCAACTTGAATGAAAATAGGAACAAGCAGCGTAGGGCCTTATGTTGGCATTCTTTCAACTAATAAATGCTGGATAAAAGTAGTAGGTCATATGCTGTACACAACACCGAAAGCAATGCCAAGTTTTCTTACCACACGTATTTGTACATTCGCCTTAGAAACACGAATTAAATGAAGCAACAGGTTGCTTTTGTAGATACCGACAATACGCTGACATTTTGCAGTAATTTTTGTGCTGCATTATTTGATAATGTAAATTGTCAATGTTGATATACTAAATAGCGAGAAAAAAGCAACAATGAAAAAATCTCTGTTAGATTGTTTTTACAGTAAAGAAAAAGGAAATTTAATATCCCATGATTCTCTCTAAAATGTAAATGTAAAACATGCTAGGCGTGTAAGCAGTTAAAAAAAGTTTTATGTTTCATTTCCGGAGGTACTCAGCAAGCTCTCGACATTAAATAAATGAACTAAGGCAAAAAAAAAAACCTGTCCCCATAAAGAAAACTGCCTCTTTCAACTTTTATTATACCAGGGCCATAAGAGTAAATGAAGGTGATCTTGCTGGCAAAAAAGTGCATTAGAAAAGCATTTCCTTTTCTTGCAAGCCAGCTTAAAAATGCTCCAATGCTATGCAAAAAATGAAGTCAAACTGGTCTCAAGAAAGTCATCAAACCATCCCTATCTAAAGCAGCTTTCTTAGCTTAAACATCCTTTCCAAACTTTGCATCCAGGAAGGAAAACGTCAACGAAAAAAGAGCGGGAGGAGGGGGGGGGGGGGGGGGGGGCTCCACACAGCTACTTTCATAGCCCCCTTTAAAGTGGCGTAGCGAAGTCAAAACAGATTTCGCAGCCGCTCCTCGTTGGCAGCACAACAACTGTGAGAGACCCGTAAACCGGCGACCACCTTCCTTCAAGGCAAAAGAATGAGACAGAAAACAAACCGGACCGGCGCCGAGGTGAATGTGCCGTGCGCAAAGTGTGGAGGGGGAAAGAAAGAAGAGAAAAAAAGAGAATGAGAGAAAGAGGAGAAGGAGGAAGTGCCAAAAAAAGATACACCTGCCTCTTTTCCCCCCCACGCGAACTCCCTCGCAGCCATTTCTCTTTTTACTCGATGCCTGCCGCCGACGTTGCCGGGTGCCCTAAACCCAGTTCGGGATCGGGGTGCCAGGCCTCGCTCCATAACTGCCAGCCAACGAGCGTCTGACCTCCACTTCACTCCAGGGCCGTGGGCAACGTGGGAGAAGACCCACTTCGAAGCGGCGGGCTTGGCACGTGGAGCCGACAGCCCGCCTCCACCCTCTTAACCACTCCTTTCTGTGGCAAGTTAAAATGGTTTGCCGTCATCGTGACGGCGCGAGAGAAGTGACAGAACAAACTGATGCGCGATGAAGCCACCAACGTGGCTGAGCGTGTGTTTAGAGAAACAAACCTTCGGAGGAAACGCGGCTGAGGCAAGCAGTTGAAACGAGGTGTAGGGACAACGACTGACTAGTAAGGAGACGGAAAGAAGGAAAGTCTGATTCCTATACTTAACCAGATCTTATGCCTATGCTTCTCACCACTGACAGCTCAAAAAAAAAAAAAAAGGAATGCTTGCATTAATTAAGGCACATCTTTGGTTTTGTTCTGTGAGCTGTTGAGAAACCTGGTAAGAAAAGAAAGAAGAAAAAACATAGGCTAAGGATACGTGGCAGAACACAGTGGAAAAGCCCACTGATGAAGGTTTGGTGTGGCAAGAAGTGACACCAAGTTCAGACTTATCACGAATCAGCATTGGAAACAGGGCTCAAAGAGACACCAGATCTATCTGTGAAACTGTGAAAGGTTAGTTCAGGGGTAGCAAAGAGCTTGAGACGGGGTTCCTCACACCCGCTCGTCTGCCTGCCTTTACTGTTCCACATGTTGGTCACCACACCATTGTACAATTGCCATCAAGTCATTATCAAGCCACTGGCGGGTAATAGGGCTTGTGTGAATATAGTTTCTTTATGCAAATGGTAATTAGTATACATTAAATTCAAATGTAATTGGAATACTAGGAAGATTTGAATAGTAGCAAGGTGCAAGTTACAAGTTGTAAAATGTGTTACATTTAAAAAATTGACATAATTAGCTCATAAAACGCCATATAACACACTTTATAGTTTAAGAAAAAGTTAATCAGGGTTCATATGATCTGCATACTTAACCTTAAAGTGTTTCTTCACTGCAGTGCACATTTGTTCTGAGTGTCCAGTTTCACGGCATAGTGGCCCTATGCTGCAGTGAAACAACCTTTTCAGGTGGGTTACATTGGTTTATAATTTGTTTTGAATATTTTGAAACTTCAGAAATTTTAAATTGAAGTCAAAGAAATTGAAGGGGTCCAGGTGCCCCCGATTTTCCACTCCCACAATGCACGCCTGTAATTTGAGCTAAAAAAGCAAGCACTGATGGCAAATTTTGTCAATACGAAATTACAAAACGGTACACCAACCGGCCGTTAAGGAAATGTCCTAACTTCAGCACAAGCGTTGTTTGAGAGACATAAGCTTACCAAGGTACTGTGCTGCAAAAGGATTGAAAGCTGAGTGCTTGTGTTGAGTGATTCTACCTTCGTATGTTGTGTGCTCTTCTGCTCCAAGTTCGGGGAATGAAAAGGCACTATACTAATCCACTTGTTATCCCCTTCTTGGTACACCCCCAAATTTTCTATGAGTGAAACAGACCTATGAGGACCAGGACCAATTTTACTGCCCACTGCGTGGCCATTATAATAATATACTTTCGTTCGATAAATGGTAAATAAGCGCACAAAAGTTCCTTTCTGACAGTACCTTACCTATCCGAGGGTAACAGCGTGAAAGACGAGAGACTAGGCAAAAAAGGAAACGTACACGAGCGCTGTTGTATGTCCTTTTTTGCCTGGACTCTTGTCTTTTGCGCTGCTTCCTTCCAATATGTCATACCAACATGCCCAAGCAACCACAATAGTAACTTGCACTTTTGCTATTGCAAAACAAGCTCTCTCTCTTTTTTTATTTGGCTTGGTGTTGAAGGCAGTGAACATGAACAGTCCATTCAGAAATACCCATATAACAAAAATGCATCAAACTCCTCTCACCAGCTAGGGTGTGAATTTTGAACGTGCTTAATTGAGTTTAGGAAAGTGTTCATCAGCACACAAGGACTACCTTGCGTTTTGAATGAACCAGATATAGAGCCTTGCAAAGCTTGAGAATTTTCCCTGCACCAAAATATGCAATGACAAAGTTCGCTCATGAAATATAAGAAAATGAAATTTGGCCTTTTGTTTTGTTAATAGAAAACTAAACTACTGTATTCTTAACATGTAATTTTAAAGAGTATGAGCCTTTACGTGACTTACTGTGACACTTTGTATATCATCCCTTAATAATTGCAGTCTTTAAACTCTATGAAACTATAGTGTAGCTTGGGAACATATGAGAAAGTGATATTTTTACC